CTGTGAGAAATGTTGATGGTGTTTTGATTGGTTTGAATGTGTAGATTGCTCTGGGTAGCATAGACATTTTAACAATATATTTTCTTCCAGTTCATGAGCATGGAATGTCTTTCCGTTTCTTTGTGTCTTTCTCAATTTCTTTCATAAGTATCCTATAATTTTCAGAGTAGAAATACTTTACCTCTTTGGTTAGGTTTATTCCTAGGTATCTTATAGTTTTTGGTGCAACTGTAAATGGGATCAATTCCTTAATTTCTCTTTCTTCTGTCTCATTGTTAACGAATGGAAATGCAACTGATTTCTGGGCATTGATTTTATATCCTGTCACTTTGATGAATTCCTGTATGAGTTCTAGCAATTTTGAGGTGCAGTCTTTTGAAGAGTGAAAGTTTGACCTCTTTGGGAATTTGGATACCTTTTGTTTCGTTTTGTTTAAATGCTGAGGCTAGGACTTCCAGTGCTATGGTGAACATCAGTGTTGAGAGTGGACATCTGGTCATGTTCCTGACCTTAGGGGAAAAGTCCTCATTTTTTTATCCTTGAGGATGATATTTGCTGGGACTTTTTCATATATGGCTTTTACAGCATTGAGTTATACTAAGTACACATACTTTCTATCTGCAAAATAGTTATAAAGATCTAGAGTAGAAGGCTGATCCAATTGGCAATGCCTTTCTACCTCCTTTTAGACTATTTTTACCCATTCTTCTTTTCTTGTCTGTTATTTTGACTACACCCTCAAGGTCAGTATGAATGAATTCAGCTCTGTAGACAAGCAAATGATCCTTTACCAAGCAGATTTCCAACTTTCAAATTTCCTATCTTTTCTCCCATACAGGTCACATATTTCCAGACACTGGCTTTGCTCCTATTAAGCTCAGTTCCCATTAGGCTACCCATGGCTACAGTTCCAATGGCAAAAACACAGCCACAAAAAGGTCTCCAAGACATCTTCCAAGTTAGGATTATGCCTCTGAACTTCCATTTTAGAAAACTAAGGCTGGCTGGCAAAATAGCAGTCATGGGAACAAAAAGACCACCTGACCTCCATTACTCTCATTACTACAACATAATAAAAAATTCATGCATGCATTGGAAATTTTGGGGAATGCCCATGCAATCAAGTACCCAATACTTCTATTCAACGCTCAAAAGAAGTAGATCTTCTGTGTACAGACAGCTTTTCTTTTAGTGGAATTTTTACTCTGTAACAGTTTGACAATTCTGGAGTCAGTTTGCCTGGGTTTAACCTTTCACTTTGCCATACACTAGCTGTGTAGCTTTTAAAAGCCACTGAACTACATCAAGTCTCAATTTCCTTAAAAGTAGCTAGTATTTATCTCATTGGCCCATTGAAATAATTAAGTGATTTGACATACATAAGCTCCAAATAGTTTTCTATATTGTCAGAGGCATTGGAGAGGGATTCATGTGTTGTATGGGCCATCATATCTCATAGTTGGCAAGAACCTTAGAGACCACCAAGTGCATGTTTATATGCCAAATATTTAGTCTGTCTGAAATAATTTTTCAATTTTTTTTCAAGATTTTATTTATTTATTTATTGTCTGAGAGAGAGAGAGAAAACACAAGCAGGGGGAGCAGCAGGAAGAGGGAGAAGCAGGTTCGCTGCTGAGCAAGGAGCCAATGTAGGACTCAATCCCAGGAGCCTGGGATCATAACCTTAGCTGAAGGTGGATGTTTAACTAACTAATCCACCCAGGCTCCTCAGTTGTTTATTGTTATATAAAACAATTCTGTGAAAAATGAATAAATTCCTATCTTTAGTTCATGGCTCACCATAAGAACTGTATATCTCTGTGAGAGATAATTAATGGAACTCAAACAAGGGTACATTTTGCCAAGACAAAGATGTGTGTGTGTGTTTGACTGCTCATTGTATCAGACCCATGAATTGATAATACACTACTCTTTAACAGTACTTATAAAAAATTTCAAAATGTTTTTCCAGTATCTGTGCCTTCCTTGTATGAACGTAATAAAAATAAATTATATTAGATGTATTATAATCTATATTATGTAATTAGAATATAATGATGAAATTCAATAAAAATTGATATAATAAAATGTCTTAAAATTGCTTTAGTCATAAAAATAATCAAATACTACTAATAATTAAATATTAATTCCACTCTTGTGGAATGTATGAGGAATCCAGAGTGTATGAATTGAGTAATATTCCCTCTCTATCATGTAATAATTATTCCCTCTCTATCATGTAATATTATATTTAATATATTAGAGTGAGAAAAATATGATATGAATTTTATGAAAGGAAATTCAATCATTTATTGTGCAAAAGGTATTATAGGAAGAAGGGTGAAAGGACTACTTACTTTTCTGAATCTTTGATATGAAAAAGATACATATTATTAGGTAAGTTTTCCTTGTTGATGGAGGAATATGCCACTATACACTTTTAATTTTCCTAAGACATAGAGTGGGATGGAATTATTGTTAATTCTATTCAAATAGAACCCCATGTTACTAAGAATCGACTGAATCTAGCTAAAAACCTTCTCTTATGGTAGTAGACTACCTTCTTCTTCCAGTGACTCAATGACCCCTCCCCCAGGAGCACTCACTGTGATGAGCAGAGCCCACATGACATGGATGCAAGAATACCAGTACTTCTTTAGAAACATATCTACTATTTCGTTGTACATATTCTAGTCTAGGGATGAATGAGTGAGAAGAAAAGCAAGAATCATTATTTCTATTATTTGGACAGATAGAAGAGAATAGCCTCTGAGGAATAAGCATGGAGGAGAACTTGTGGAGAACTTGAAACCCAGTTTCAGTCTGTCTACTACTTATCTAACAACAGTGCTGTGTTGGGGACAATGCTCCCTGCTTCTCCCTCCCTCTCCCTACTTTTCATCCCTCCAGCTCAGATATAAATGATGTTCTTAAAGGGAAGATGTGGGTGCAGGGTCTGGCTGAAGGAATTAAAGGTGTTTTGCATGTCAAGGTGATTCATTACTAATTAGGTGAAACCAACTCTGGAGGAGAAATTCCTGATGTGTAAGCTTTAGGTGTGTAGTTGTGAAGCCAGAGTGATCGGTGTAGAAGACAGGACAGGAAAAATTCTTAACTTGGAGCCAACAAATTTAGCAATTTATTTACTTATATTCTAGTAGTACTTTGTATTTTTCTAATATTTCAGCACTATAGTTCAGTAGTAACCTTGTCAATGAGGCAGGACAGTAATCATGCTGCTCATTGTACAGAAATACAAAGTGACTTGCCTGAGGTCACAAAGGTGATAGATAATACACACAGCAAAATGGAACCCACATCTTGGTCTCCTGAGTCTCAGTTAAGTGCTTTCTGAACTACGTCAAATCCTAAGGCATGATGATCTTTCTGACCAACACTTAAAAAGTTACAGACATATGTGTATTTAGTCTACATGCATACATTCATGCATGCGTGCATACTTTTTGCTTGAGAGAGAGAAAGAGAGAGGGAGATGATGTGTGTATTGCACCTTCACATGAGCAGGGAGTGGGGAGGGACAGTAGGAGAGTGAGAGAGTCTTAAGTGGGAACCACGCACAGCATGGAGCCCAATGTGGGGCTTGATCTCATGACCTGGAAATGACGACCTGAGCTGAAATCATGAGTCTGATGCTTAACTGACTGAGCTACACAGGCAGCCCCATACTTTTTAAATTATAATCTTATATATGCTCATTGCAGAAATAATGACAAGAGCATGAAGGAGAAAATGTGTCCCATGCACCTAAAAACGATTACACCATTGACATTTAGTATATTTTCTCCAGAATCAAGAGAAACATTGCTATGAGCTGGGAGCTTTCATTGATTTCACTGGGTTAGGGTGGATTTGAAAAATAATGTTAAAGTATTTTTTAGATGTTTGACCTTAGAAATATGTGACTACATTTCCTTCCTTGAATCTGCTTGTGTACACCCAACCCATCTTTTCAACCTGGGCTTTTGATAAATTGAAAGTTCTTGCTAATTCTGCATCCAGGCAACTGTTGTGCCTTTTTTCTCTTTTCATCTTTATTAGCCCACCCAATCTCCAGCTAATCATTTCCTACTACCTCATGAGATTCTGTCAAGTCATGTCATTCCCTCCTCTTCTCCTTCCCAAGTTCCCTTCCTCTTGAACCTGGTCTACGTCAAGTCCAGTGAAAAAGATGAGAGCTGTCAAAAACTTAAGTTTTCCTCCCATTTATAAGTAACCGTGTGACCCTAGGTAAGCAACTTCACTCCTCTGAGCCTCAACTTTGTCATCTTTAAAATGAGTCTGGCTTATATAATATTTAGGCTCCTCTCCAGCATTCTTAGATTCCATTATTAAGTAAATTCATGCCAGACTGTGTCAAATCACCCTGACATCCCAGGAGAAATTATATTTCAAAAGTGCCCTCTTCTTGTTAGCCCAGATTAATTTACTCATGAGGTCACTCAATCTTTTATATATTTATTCAACAGATATTTGTGAAGTATTTTCTAAGGTCAGGGGATGCACGGGTCAGTATACCTGGTATCATGAAGCTTAACATGTAATAAGAATATAGAAAAGTACACAGGTATTTATAAACAAGTGTGATATTACTGTAGGAAAAGTACAGGAATCGATTAGCCATGCTTAAAAGATAACAGTGTAGATGAGGTCTTATCTGGCGGAGTATTTAATTATAGTTATGACTAAAGCAATTTTTAGACATTTTATTATATCAATTTTTATTGAATTTCATCATTATATTCTAATCACATAATATAGATTATAATCTAATCTAATTTATTTTTATTACATTCAGACAGAGGAGGCACAGATACTGGAAAAACATTTTGAAAATTTTATAAGTACTATTAAAGAGTTGTGTATTATCAATTCATGGGTCTGATATAATGAGAAGTCACACACACACACACACACACACACACACACACACACACACACACATCTTTGTCTTGGCAAAATGTGCCCTTGTTTGAGTTCCATTAATTATCTCTCGGCAGGAACTTCTTAGTAGTATCTCTCACACTCTTCAGGAAAGTCATGACGTCAGTGCCTCCAGTTCCTTTATTTTCTTGCTGGCATGAAGGAATCACAATGTACTTAGTTACTATTTGTAGGTGATAGTTTCTCAGGGAAACCATAGCTTTCACGCACTCATTGTAATCTGCCTGCAGCTCAGTATCACCTTTTGAAAGAACAAATTCACGGACTGAGGGGCCTGACTCTAATGAGAGAAGAAATTTCCGGTGAGCTGGTGGCATATATTTTCGCATTTCCTGGAGGAATCTGGCAGCAGATTCTGAAAGAACAAGAGAGAGATTAGGTAGAAGAGAAGCCAAAGCGTGCCCCCAATCCATGTGAGAAGAGTGGGTAGGAGATCACACAGCACCATTGCAGCATGAGTTTACAACCATCCTATTAATGCTATTGGTCTTGCTATTAGTAATGATAATTATTGTAATATATACTTAATGTTGAAAACGACATGAGCTGAACTCATTCTTTCATAATAAAGTTTTTTGTGTGTCCTTTCTCACTTCCCTATTATTGTATTTGATCCTTCTAAAAAGCTGATGATATAGATAAGGTATATTTAATCTATACCTGACAGACCATGACACTGAGTCCAAGAGAGTTTAAGGGACAATTTTTACATACATGAGTTAACTAAGAAAAAAAGCATATTTTTACCTATGTCAATATGTTTCCCTTTGACAATTATGTAGAAGTTTAGGAAAAGAGAGAAAAGTACAAAAGTTCTTACTGGAGCTTCTTCTGCCTGCTCTAAACCCCTAGAAGGAATATAATGAATGTGGTTCATCTTTCACCTTTGGTTCATCTTTAAAATTTGAGTGAATGGGACAGTAAGCCGGCCAAGAGCACTGCCAAGCCTCCCCTATCACTGAGGTCTCCACCTCCCCAACTTCTGTCCCATCCCATTTGCAGGTGACTTTCTCTTTCTGAAACTGGTCATACATTTCCAGAACATGTGCTATGGGCTTCACCATTCGGACCTTATATACATGCCCAAACCTCAAGATTGAGAGGGTGATGAACTTGGGTTTTGGTTCTGGCTTCACTACTTTCTAGCTGGTTAATAAGGAGCCTATCACTTATCCTCTAAAGAAACTTAGAAGTTCCTGCTTGGCTGTCTGTGGAATGGGATGATGACAATATAGTCTTGCCTTACTAATTCTTCTACAAGTATCAGATAAGGTCAGATGAGATGCTGATTTTTTAGACATTAGAACACTATTGTATATGAAACGATTATTATTTGTCATTGTCCACTCACCTTCACCAGATTGTTGCTGGATGCCCAGCAGAACATCAAAGCACTGAAAGATGCTGCTTTGGGCAGCACTGCCCCCTGCATACTTCCTTGGAGTGTCCCAGAAACCTTCATACTTCAGACCCTTTGGCAGTTTGGAGCTGTTTTTCCACCTAGGCCAGGAAGGAAGAAAATAATCACTATTTGGATAATTGCCAAATTTTCTGGTATAAAATCTTATACTAGAGGATGAATGGAAAGTGACATAAAATCAATTTCATTATTCTTCTTTCACATTCCCCTTCCAGTCATGTTCATGTTTGAGAAAGACAAATAATATGGTCTGAGCAAATTTGGCAAAAGTATTCTAAAAATGGAATTTTACCTTTGCACTAGCAAAGATCATTCTTTGTTTGTTTGTTTCTAAATGATTACCTTTCCTGTCCATACTCCAGTGCACGCTTGGCCAAGGAATAACAGAGAGACAGTCTATTCTTTCTCTATAACATGTATTTTATGATATGAATTATTTCCTAAACCCAATGGATAATGGGGACTGTCAGTGGGAATTTGATGTGTACTTTAAGTGAATTGTTTAAAACAAATTCAAGCATAAGATTACCTACCCAGACAAGTATATGCGAAGAACATTGTAAAATGTGTTCGGGTCCACATGTTCTGTAAAAAAGATGGGGTGTGTTTAATTAAGCAGTTATCAGAACTTTCAGAGGAGATCAAGATATTGTAAACAACTGATAATGGGTTTTGGTTTAGGCTGCAGGAAAGGCATTATGTCAGCCTGTGCAGAACAAGCTCTCATTCACCTGACCTTTTTGAGGGCAGCCCCCATCTACTCAAAGGGTCTACCATCAGCTGACATACAGCTTGGGTCAAAGAACATAGGCCCACCCAAGACTCCTCTTGAGGAGAGCAATTAAACTGTCAATGTTTCCTTAAAGCTATTTCATCTGCTTACTGACATAACAGATAAACTACTTACATAAGGAAACAAAACTACACAAAATGAAAAGCAGAAACAAGAGCCGCAGGGGCTCTTTGGACATCATCCCTGAGTCTCCCTCCCCAAACATTACTAACTTTTCTGATTTAAAGGTCAATCTTCCTGCCAAGGATGAATCAGTACTAACTCAAAGTCCAGTGGTACACAATCACATATTGTTAAGGCTGTCCAGCAGGGCACAATTTGTGTGTGTGTGTGCGTGTGTGTAAATCCTTGTTTACATACTTTTTTAGTTATTGCTGTTTTTTGGCTCTTAATTTTGTAATAACTTTTGAGCTCAGTGGCTTTTCTATGTTGTTTCTTACTTAACTTGTGAAAAAGCAGAATTTGTTTGGAGTTCCTATAAAGCAGAAGCTAAGTACTTCAGAACTTAGAACAGCCTGAACCTTCCGCAGGTTTCTCCATGATTTCAGTGAGAGGCAATGACATTATTTACAGTTCAGCAGACCTGGCTTCACAATTTACTACCTGTGTAACCTTGGGCCACTTATCTTATCTCTCCATTAGATTACCTTATCCATAAAATGCACATAATAAAACCTTCCACAGGAAAATATAGTCATTTAGGGAGATAAAGTGAAAACACACCCACTAAGTGAGAGTGTTTTTCTTCCGTTTTCTCAACAACTCTAGTCTCAGAAAATCAGAAGCACGTGACTGTGAGCCTTGCATGTTTTTGGGTATACAATACTTACCATGAATTTTTTCAAACTCTTTATAGGCTTGCTGCAGAGAAGAAGCTATATAACGCAGTGCTTTTTGCAAAGCACTCTGGTCCTCGTTTTTAACTGCCTTGAATAAATCGGGAATTACCTTTAAAAAAAAAAAGATGAACATACAAGGTTTACTAGCATTAAATATTGGCATAGAATAAAATTCTCCTAATTCTCAATCCCTAAATTAAATGTAGGATTTCCACTTCATTTTTGGGCTGAGTATCCTTTTATTATTTGACTAATTTCCTTATATTTAATTAAGTTTGGTTTTATTTTTATTTATTTATCATTTAGAGATAAATCTATAAAGTTTTATATAGTTTCATTTCTATTTCTAATCATCAAAACCATTAGATTTATGTCACTATGTGATCTAGTTTCAGTGCCAAACTGCAATAAAAATGCGTCTCTACTATTAAGGTTTTAAACTTAATTCTAAATATATGGGCCTTGGGGTGCCTGGGTGGCTTAGTGGGTTAAGCATCCAAATCTGGATTTCAGCTCAGGTCATGATCTCAGGGTCATGAGATCCAGCCCATCAGCCTCCATGCTGGGCATAGAGCCTGCTTAAGAGTCTTTCTCTCCCTCTGCCCCTTCCCGCTTGTGCGCTCTCTTTCTCTAAAATAAATAAATAAATAAATAAATAAATAAATAGGTCTTACATTTTTTATTTAGGTGATACACAAAAATAAAATATTTCTACCAGATGTTCACTTACCATCCAATTAAATAATCGAATGCAGTATTTACTTAGTCAAGATATATTTCATGCATAATATAGTTCAGTTACTAAGTGATTGCCCTGCTTATGCAAATAGAGATAAAAATTTGCTTGTAGGGATGGACGTACTTTGATTGCAGAAGCAGCTGCTATCTCCACCAATAGTGAAACCAGGAAAAATCCTTTACAGCAGTCTCCACCAGGAAACCAAAACAGAACATCCATGTTCCTAAGAAAATAAGTCAAGGAAGTCAAGAATTTAGCAGTAACACTGGTGTATTTGAGTGCTTTGTAGTTTTCAAGTATTTTTATTCCATTCTAGTTTCAAAAAAATCTTGTGAGATAAGTATGATAAGTTCTACTATCTATGTTACATTGTTGGGAATATGAGTGTTAGGTCCGTTGTCTAAGATCTAACAGTAGGGTAAGTTGGGACTTGAAATTCCATTTTAGAATTTAGGACTAGAAATACCAAGACCATTTCTGTTTTTATTCTCTCATTAATTTTTCACATGCATATACATTACTGTACTTGTATATTTATACATACTCAATGCTTATGGAGACAATTGTGAGGTATAATTTTAAGTAGTCTTTTGGCTTTAAATATATTTATGTCCATATTTTTGTCTGTGAACCTGATTCAATTTTTCAGTGGTTTACCTGCTTTACATGAATTTGGGAAATGCAAATGACTGATTAGACCCTAGTTTGTTTCTTTTTTTTTTTTTTAAAGACTTATTTATTTGAAAAAGAGGTAAATAGAAAGAGACAGCTCGAGCAGTGGTAGGGGCAGAGGGAAAGAGAAAATCTCAAGCAGGCTCTGCCCTGTGTGTGGAGCCCTATGTGGGGCTAGATCCCAGAAGCCATGAGGTCAAGACTTTAGCTGAAACCAAGAGTCAGACAAACCAAGAGTCTGAGCCACCCAGGTGCCCCCGCTGCCATTTTCTCTTTTATTGTAATTTTGCACTAGAGCAAACAAGGTCTCAATATCTGTAGATCTATAAATTCATGGTGGTTAAATTCACGGACTCTGAAGCCAGTCCATTTCTGCAACTTAACTTGCTGCATGACACGTTTCTGCCTCAGTGTTCTCATCTTTAAAATGAGACTGATGATATCATCCTCTCATTTAAAAACCTTCCATAGATTCCCATTGATTTTAAGATACTATTTAAACCCCTCATCATAGCCAAAAGTCCTATGTAATCTTTCTGCTACGTTTACTTCTCCATCCCTTTTCTACTACGTCCATCAGTCACTACTTATCAGCGACATTAGCCTTCCTTCAGTTCCGATAATGCAACACAATTTTCATCACTTTGAGGCCCTCACTCTTGCTGTTTCCTCCACTATGAACACTCATCTTTTCCTTTTAGCTAATACCTTCCTACTTACTCTTCGGAACTCAGCTTGAATAACTCTCTACAGGGATTCCTTATTCATCCCTTTCATTTAGTTGGAGTTCCCAGCACTTTATCCTCTTACTCCCTCTTAGTCATAAAGAAATTTACATAATTTTCCTATATCTGCTTTCCTCACCAGGGCAGGATTATTCCTAGGATATTTACCTTTGTATCCCTAGCTCCTAGCCTCTGCTCGATACATAAACTCAAAATGGTAAGGATTGGGTCAAAAAGGACAGGTTTATGTATCTGGGCACTATGGTCATTAAGTCAAAGACACACAGATGTATATGCATTTTGCATTTATGCATATTAATTGCATTTTTATATATGCAAGTGCTATTTTTGTATATATCTATAGCTATAATATCAAGCAGACACAGTCCTATCACAGTCATAGAGCTAATTAAGGATTGGGATTATTTGCTCTTTAAACAATTATTTGAGTTATTTTTTGCCTGAATTCAATTGGTCTTTTAAAAAGTACACTTAGAGGATATTGATAAACCTACACTCACTTTGAATAACAATTCTTATAATAAAGTAAGAAGCAAATACTTACTCATAAGTCATGGGCCTTGTGAAAACAGCCGTGAAGCAATGGATCAATTAGAAGAGAAAGAGAAAATCAACTTAAAAATCAAATAGCTTTGAGTTATTCTTATTCAATTTAATACTACTGAATTATCAAAGGTAAGATATAAATAAAAGAGAAAAATATATACATGTGTGGTTTTTAAAAATATCAACTATGCATTGCAAACACTTAGGACTTTGTAAATAAAAAAAATAAATATTCAAGGAACACACATGGTCAGTCAAAACCAGTTGCTACTAATAAAATTTTTTTAAAATTTAAATTCAATTAGCCAACATATAGTACATCATTAGTTTCAGATGTAGAATTCAGTAGTTCATCAGTTGCATATAACACCCAGTGCTCATTATATCAAGTGCCCTCCTTAATGTCCATCACCCAGTTACCCCATCCCCTCACACTCCTCCCCTCCAGCAACCCTCAGTTTGTTTCCTATAGTTAAGAGTCTCTCCTGGTTTGTCTCCTTCTCTGATACCTTTCTATTCTTTTCTAGATCAAACCCTTTCGGTTTACAGTTTGCTGTCTACAGTACTCCTCTGCAGATACACACCCAGAGTCCTGGGGCACCAGAAGTCTCAGGTCCCTTTATTGTAACAGATCGCATTGGTTAAAGGAGAGGAGGGGCCTAGAACCTCAGCAGATGGCATTGAAGGCCCAGGCATTGCCATCCCTACTGCTGAAAATGTGTCAACTCTTAAATTAACTGAATAGTTAAAAAACAAATTTGTAGAATCTCCAAAACATGTTAATTAAGGAAAGCCAGACACAGAAGAGTACATACTCTATAATCTCATTAATATGAAATCCAATAGCAGAAAAAATTAATTTTTAATATGACAAATCAGAATAGGTTTACTTGGATGTAGAGGAGAAAATTGAATGGAAAGAGCCACAGAGGTGATACTCTGTATCTTGCTTAGAGCTAACCCTGTATATAGAACAGGCAGTTAGGATGGTGCATTTCACTGTATGTTAATTACACAACTTTCTCTCATATATTTTTAGTTATACGCCAGCAAAAGAAATCATACCCCCAAAACAGAGAAGAAAGCTGTGCTGCCGAAAATTAAACCAATGGCTAGTGCCCTGTTGATGAAAATAGCATGCACTTCTTCAGTTCCTGTTATAATCACAGTTCACATACCCATTGGGATCCTTTTTCTTCCAGTTTGCCAAGACACAGTCTGCATAAACCAGAATAGGAGGCAGACCCAGCTTCTCAGAGAGTTCACAGTAAGGAACAGCAATATTCTTTGTCAGGACCTAATGAAAACACAAAATTTAGTATTAACCTTCGAAGTGTCTTACATTTTCTTCTGCTTCCTGCTATCATTCCAACGACTCTATTAGTGCCAAAACATGAGCTGTTCATCACGGCACTCTGAAACCAAACAATCATAATTTTCTCTTCCTCGTTTCATAGCTTAGTCCTAGTAATCATTAAATGTTTATGTTTTAGATGTGGGTTGTGTACATAATCTAGTCAGAGCAAAAGGAGGTAGAGGGTACAAGGAACAAGGATGCATCCTTGACTTTCTAATGGCCTGGAGTTACTTGTAGTCATTCATTTACTCATGCATCCATCCCATAAATATTTGTTAGACGGCTTCTCTATGTGAGGAGCTCTTTATCTACAGGCAATACAAGAATAAAGTCAATTGTCTTCAAGAAACTCAAAGTCACTTGTAATTAAGACTTTGGGATATGATACATAGTAAAAGGGTAAGTGGTTGGCTGCCCTTGAGCACAGCGCTGACAGAAACTCTCTCCTGGATGATTTTTTAGAGTGACGTTGGGGCTCATCCTTGAAGACTTGCTTGTGTCAGCCGAAGGAATCTCCTTTAGCCTTCTTTTCTGTTTCCATGAAGAGTATACCAACTGGACTGACACTTGGCTCTTTCACTCACCCTTCCTCAGAGGAGGTATAGAGGCTTATCTGACCATTGACTGTGGGAGTGGGACTGCCTCTCAGCAGACTTTGTTTTCAACTCTTTTTTCCTGACCCTATTACTCTGGATCTGCTCTGTGCCTGGCCACACTCTAAAAGGCTCCTGCCCCCATGGGCAATCCTGATGGGTAAATGCTTTCCTAGCAGGCCCATTGTCACCACACATGCAAGCCATATTTTCCAACTGCTCTATTAATCATAATGCTAACCTTTTATTCTTTGTCTCCCTGACTTCCTCATCTAACTATCATTTGGTTTATAACTAGATGGTCCCATATACTAGTTAAGGTCACCCCTGTCATCAGCAGCTGATGGTTGGAATATGTGTATCCAACCGCCAAAGGACAGGGATGTGTAGCTCATCTGGAGTTGTGGGCGGTGGGATTGCAATGGTAGAGACGGTATGATGATGAGGTCCTCTCCACAGTTCTGCAAAACTCATGGGAGCTATAACCTAAGTGGCTTTATATTAACTTAATAGACCTGGAGATGATGGTTTAACAAAGAACAAAATGTTAGAAGGAAAAACATTGGCTATCAAAGTGACACCTGGATGTGTGCTTCCTGGTACAGAGCTTGTGCCTCTGGGAATTGAAATATTTTGGTTTGCAACTGATTTACTTGTTTCAAAAGGAAATTTTTTGCTCTTTCTGAATTAAAGAAAAGATCAAAGGGAAACAAAAGGAAAGTTGCTTAATTAAAAAGTTAATTTGGAATGACTTGGGAAAAAGAAATGCTCAAACACATCTTAATCTATTAGAGACATGCAGTTACTAAGAAACTCAGATGCTAGTTTCTAGCCCATTGTGAAGAAAATTGTGCCTTATATTGATGTATCTTATTTTTTATCCATTTACTTTACTTTTCTACAATTTCCACACTTAAATATATTTGTTGCTGGCTCCTAAAATCCTTTTTGGAATAATGTAGTATATAAAAACTAGATAAATTGAAAATATATTTTCATGTTTTATTTTATAATTCTGACTTCACTCTCATAAATTTATTGTCTTTTGATTAACCTATGTACATTCTGGTCTCCATATTTTTTGCTGGTCCTTTCTTTCTCTTTTCTGCTCCTCTCCTCTTTGGGTAAGCTCTACCAATCTTTCAAGAAGTAGTTCAGGTCCCTCTTCTTCCTTCCCACTTTCATTATTATACCAACTACTCTTTAGCTATTCTGGGCTCTCGTGCTTCTGCATCTAGCACAGGCTGCCTTTGTTATTGATGATCTTTCTATACAATGCTTACACATTTAGCGAGACTCAGATTTTAGCAAGTCTAGTGAGGCTGGGTGCTTAGGTTGTCAGGCTATCTTATATCTTTGTGTCATCAAAAATCTAGACATGATAGTTTAATGATTATAAAGAAATATAAGATGATCCCATGATTATGCAGAGAGCTTTTCCTTTTATTTAGATATCAGGGATGACATATCACATAGGTGGACAATGTATGTTGTTGTATATTTAAACAGCATATGGAAAGACAAGATAACATTCCAATTACTTTTGTCAAGCGAAATAAGTCAATCGGAGAAAGACAACTATCATATGATCTCCCT